GGAACCAACTACCAGTTTTAGTCCGTGAGGCAGACACCCTGTCTACTTTTAAGGCTAGGCTTAAAACTTTCATTTTTGATAAAGCTTATAGTTAGGGTGGCTCAGGTTATCCTGAGCTATCTCTATAGTTATGCTGCTATAGGCTTAGACTTTTGGAGGACATAGGGACCCCCATTTCATCATTCTGCTTCATTCTCTCTCTGTTCTCCTATTCTGCAGAATCTGTTAGTTCAATCTCTAACCTTCTGCTCTCTCTGCTTTTCCTCAGAGTAGCTTTGCCTCGTCTGTTCCTGTTTGGCTGTGACGTCATCCTGGAAAAAAACATCAGCTGTGCTGCTTCTATCAACACCCTTGTTAATAGATGTTGGAGATCGGCCTGTTTTCCAGTGTGGTCCTGTTTCTCTGACCGTGACTGAGTGGATGTGCTCTCTTCGTCCTCTGGCATGGGAGCTGCCTTGGAGCTCGTCTGCCTGGCTGTGTGTTTCCTGGACGGGGCCGCCTTTTACAGCTGCTTTTTGTATCTCTGCTTCTGTCTCCTTGAACCCCAGTCGGCCTCGGCAGATGGCCGCTCACACTGAGCCTGGTTCTGCTGGAGGTTTCTTCCTGTTAAAAGGGAGTTTTTCCTCTCCACTGTCGCTACAAGCATGCTTAGTGTGGGGGATTGTATTTGAGTCAATGAGTCAATGCAATCAACTGGTTTTCCTTAGATAGAAAACTTTGTATCAATTTGACTGTATGATCTGGTTGAACTGTAAAGTGCCTTGAGATGACATGTGTTGTGAATTTGGCGCTATATAAATAAACTGAATTGAATTGAATGAGCAGGACGGATCGTGCTTCCTTGACGGATCGGGTAATGACAGGCACGACGGAGAAGAAATATCTCAAATTCACACATTTGGGTCGATTCTCCAGTCGTGCAAAAATGTTTCAATCAGACCGAGTTTCAGCCTCGTTGCACGCCGTGTAGCATGAGGGGGGTAATAAGGGACGATTAGCCTCTCACGACCAGCTCCCCACGAGGAATCGTAAGTTTGGGAAAAAATAAAACATGTATAAAATTCAGTCGCCCGTCGTAATATTGCATCAGAGCGTCGGGTCGCACAGTGTGAGAACATTTATCATGAGCTGTGAACTTTTAAATCCTGCTGTATTGTCGTACAGTTTGAGCTGTAGCTGCGAGCAACGATTGAAAATGCTCGGCATTAAAGCTGCCGAACCAATGAAGAGCTTTAGCTCAACTAACCTGACTCCACCAGATGGATTTGCTCCGCATATCCATCTGGAAACCTTCCGTTGAAGTAATTTTGGGAAGGTGCGAAAATACTGGTTAGCTGATTGGCCTATGTTGGTGATAGACGGACCAAATAAACCAATCAGATCAACAAAGCATATGACGTACTAACAGAGCGACGACGAAAACACAACCACAAGCCAGGCTACTCTTGCCGAAACCAGTCAGGAGAAGAGCAAAAACATCTTTTCCTCTGAGAAAAGCCTCCAGAGCAGTGTTTTGCTCTTCTTTCAGTGAAGAAAAACTCTGTAATTCCGATAAAACTTGCTTGATAGCCACGCTAGCGCTAGGTTTCATCGGCTGAGGCCGCCATGTTCTTTAGACTGAACTGTTGCGCTTCTCGTTGCGTCACACCTCAACCCGTCTCAAAGCCAACGTTGATTGGACGTTCGTTTGGTGAACGGCTCCAAATTTTTTTAAACGGAGAGTCTCCAGACTGGTTAGCTCGCAAGATCAGGATGGTTTCACGAGGCTATAGCTCAACCCCCGCAGAGGTAAAATAAAGAGCCGACGAAGCCCCATCTTTCAGTAGAAGCTCTTACTGCTGTGATCCTACAAGCTAACGGGAGCTAGCATTGTTCTGCGTCCCTACTTCAGTGGCTATATGTAGAGCTCCCCCTACAGGTTTGGAGGGAGACAGTCGGTAGATATCAGTAGCTTATACCCTGGTGTGGCTTATTTACTTATAGTACATTTTCAGTTTTTTTCAAAAAATTTAGTGTGCGTGGCATATAGTGAGGTGCGCTCTATGGTCTGGAAAATACGGTATTTTCTTCAGAAAATCTGCACAGATCTCAACACATTCAAATGGCTTGCTCTTCTGTTAACCATGGTTAGTGGGTCTAATCTTCAAGTAATCTGATTACAGGAGTCCCTGATGAACACATCTCTCTGGCGTCCGTTTCTCTGCTGTTGTGTTGTGCTATGTGGACGCTATGAAGCCATTTTTAGTCAGAACCGAGACGCCTAACCGCAGGTGATCGCACCGCAGGTTGCAGCTGATGGTTTTGTAAAGCAGCAGGAGCTGCAGCTCTGACAGAACATGTAGTCCAGCCCCGAGTGGTTGAAGGCAGCCCTACATGAGCTGCCCTCCCCGTCAGCAAATCTGTTTTAATGGACGTAACCGAAGTGATCGTCATGCATCGACCATCAGCATTCAGCCAGAGAGGCAGACGGAGTAGCAACAGCCAAAGGCTAACAGGATTAGCTGCTGAAAATATCCCAGGCAGGGATGTCCCTGGTCTTATCTTAGCTCTGTCTAAGCAGGCTTTTCTCTCTGTGGGAAGCAAAACAGTCAGAGACTTCTGGGACCAGTCAGGTCCTGAACCTCCACCTGGAAACCCTCCTTCTGCTGAGCAGAATCAGAGGTGGATCAGTGAAGCTGAAAGTGGCTGATATCTGTTCTGATTGGCCACTGGCTGCTTTAATCCACATAAAACTGTTTTTCTATTAATCAACAACATTAAAACTAAACAAGAACTCTCAGCATTTTATCTAAAATGCATCAACGCAATAAAGGTTATGGGTTAAAGTTAGCTTTAAAGCATCAACTCGGCTAATTTAATCCCTTCTTTTCTTGTCCACCATAAAGTTTAGGCCCCCGTCACACCTTGCCTGACGTCCCAGAATCTCCTAAAACACTAACCTGACTCCTCCAGATGGATTTGCTCCGCATATCCATTTGGAAACCTTCCGTTGAAGTAATTTTGGGAAGGGGCGAAAATACTGGTTAGCTGATTGGCCTATGTTGGTGATAGACGGGCCAAATAAACTAATCAGATCAACGAAGCATATGACGTACTAACAGAGCTAGGGAGCACTCAAACTCTTGCTGAAACCAGTCGGGAGAAGAGCAAAAACATCTTTTCCTCTGAGAAAAGCCTCCAGAGCAGTGTTTTGCTCTTCTTTCAGTGAAGAAATACTGTTTAATTCCGATAAAACTTGCTCGATAGCCACGCTAACGCTAGTTTCATCGGCTGAAGCCGCCATGTTCTTTAGACTGAACTGTCGCGCTTCTCGTTGCGTCACACCTCAACCCGCCTCAAAGCCAACGCTGATTGGACGTTCGTTTGGTGAACGGCTCCAAATTTTCTTTAAAGGAGAGTCTCCAGACTGATCTGCGAGTGAAATCTTGAAAGCTCGTGAGATCAGGATGGTCTCACGAGGCTACTAAAACACTGGCATAGCTGAACTTTCTATGTATTTTTTCTATTTTTGGGGTATACATAGAGTATACATAAGGAGTCTAGAACTTATGTCCGATGACAGCCTAACTTACACATATAACACATAAGCTTAATGCCCATGAAATGATGCACAGGCATCCGTTAAAGCTGCTCCACCTGGCGCCCCGGTCTGCCTAAAGAAATGTCTTTGGAACGGTCGTCTGGCACACGTCAAATACGTTAATATGTGTTGGAGAGAAGTTCTTGATAAGTTACGCAGAAGTTATGATTAGCTTACTCATAGGTTTGGAAAAGCTAGACGCCACGACTTATGAGTAACTTACACTTAACGTATGTCACTGATCAGATAACTTAGCTGGAACTTATGGACCGCATACGAGAATACGATGCCATACGTCGCGGAATTTGGAGCATGTTCAAACTTTCTCGACCTACTCGCCATTTGTCGACGTTTGCCAGCGTACTTCAGCGTGTTTCCACATACTTCAGCGTGCTCATAACTTATATAAAATGTATCCGTAACTTATCCAACGTATGCCAGCGTTTTTGCCAGATTTTTCGTACGTCAGGGAGACGCCGGTCTAAATCGTCGAGGTGTGACTGGGGCTTTAGATATAATCGGCCACTTTGCAAGCTAGTTTCGTTACTCTACATGATTGGCTGAACGTTGCCACCAGATGTAAACATTGTGGTTGCCCTAACCAAACCTGTAGAGCTCCCCATACAGGTTTGGTGGGAACCAGTCAGTAGATATCAGTAGCTTATACCCTGGGGCGACGTATGTTTCCAGTTTTAAAAAAAAAAATGTAGTGGGTGCGGCTTATATTGAAGTGCGCTCTATAGTCTGGAAAATACGGTATTTTCAGAAATCCAGTCGGCCGTCGTAAGGTCGCATCAGACACCTATCAACAACACATATCGCAGAGTGTATGTTTACACTTCCATCCATCCATTTTCCGTCATGCTTATACCAAGCGGGGTCACAAGGGGTTTTCCAGCCGTCTGCGGGTGAGAGGCGGGGTCTACCCTCAGGGTTTCCGCAGGTTATTAAAAATCATTAAAAGTCATTAAATTTATATTTTTTAAATTAAGGTCTTAACTGGCATTAAAATTCATTAAATGTGATTATCGTGGCATTTAAAATGCGTTATTTAGAAAAAAAAAATAATAATTTAAAAACAATTTTTTCAGCTGTATTATATCAGATATAACTGGTTCCACGTGTTTGCGCAGAAGTGCTTCCGGTTGATCGTAAAGCCGAATGTTTGGAAAAGAAGCTTGAGGCAAAGAATAGGCTAGAGAATGTAAACTTTAACAAAAGTTACAGGCTGCAGCCTGTCGACGGTAAAGATGATGAAGGACTTTGGCATGTTTTATATATAGATATATATAAATATTAAAGAGTCATGGGTACTTGTTGATGGCATTAAAATAATTTCTAAGTGCATTAAAAAGCATTAAATTACAGTAACTCATTCATGTATAAACTGTGACCCTGGACAGGTCGCCGGTCCATCACAGATTTTACACTTTCTGATTGGTTGAATGAATCTATGAAACATAATATTGTTTCCGGAAAATTTGAACATTTACGCCATGCAAAACCTAAAGATGTGCTACAGCAAGGTGTGCACCCTGTGAAATATTCTCAGCTAAAAGCCTGAAAGGAGGTGATTCCAAAGAGATGACGGTGAGTGCCTGAGGCGGCTCTGCTCTCTGGATCAATGCATCAAACCATAAAGAAAAGTAGAAACCATCTCAGCCAGGAAAAGCCTGATTGGTGCATCTCTAAAAAGTAGATTTTACAGACATCAGTGCAAGAAGCTGTGATCTAAATATAAAATCCTCCATCAGCCAGATGATGGTCAGTAGATGCACAACAGTGAAGATACAAACAAGGAATAAAAGTCAGCATATTGGGGATTTTTCTCTCTTTAAAGGGCAAGAAAATCACAAACACAAACACAGACAAGGAATTTGAGTCACACTGCGTACCTTTTGCTTTAGCTGCTTCAATGGTAGCTTTGTTTTGGGGGGGTTTGGGAAGGAGGAAAAGAGCCAGTCATCAAATATGGCTAAAATAACACATTCAAGAGCAACATCACATTTTTATCCTTTATGAAACAACAGGAGATCAACAGGTGAGTCACGGTCGCTCTGAGAGGAAGGTAGAGACGCCTGGCAGGGATTTAGGATAGTGTGGTGTTAAAGGGTCACTGGGACTTATGAGAGGAGAGCTGAGGGGGGGATTTACCTCAGCTCTGAGGCATGGAGGAGGCGCACTGCAAAAAACAGCTAGAAATAAGTCAACATTTCTTAAATCAAGTGTATTTTCCCTACGTTTGAGCAGGTAAATAAGATGATTTGCCAATGGAATGAGAATTTTTACTGTTAAAGATAATATGCACTTGATATAAGTAAATTGTCTCGTTCAATTGACAAAGTGTCCCACACTGGAAAAACAATCTAGAAATAAGTAAAAAATTCTTAAATTAAGTGTATTTACCCTTAATTTGAGTAGGTAAATGAAATGATTTGCCAATGGAATGAGTATTTTTACTCTTAGAATAAGATATTTAGATAAAATGCACTTGAAATAAGACAATATAATTGCGTTTTCTTATTTTAAATGTAAATTATCTTGTTCCATTGGCAAAATATCTCTTTAACCTTCTCAATTCAAGAACAAATGCACTTATTTTAAGAAGAAATGACTTATATAGATTTAGATTTTTTTCCAGTGCAATTGCCTCCTCCATTCTAGAAAAAATGCATTTATCTAAAGAAAATATTATTTAAATTTTTGCAGTTCAGTCAGACTCATTAAAAATCAGATGGACTAAATTTTCTTTATCTTTCATTGATAAATTATAAAAACAGGAAAGAGGCGGTCCTACAACTCCTTTAATGAACCTCTAAGAATAAGAATAGAATTGAATAATAAAAATCCTTTCTTCTACCACAAGCGGGAGATTTTTGTGCATCAAGAGCAAAGTGACAGGCTTTCAAAGTTAGAAGAATCACACAAACATGACATTTCAAAGGTTATAAAAGCAGAGTAAATAATAAAATACTGCACAATAATGGCAAAAACTGTTAACATAATTCTGTGCAATTAAAATAAAAAATAAAAATCAATGTATTATTGGTTATTTTGCAATTACTTTGCAATATTGGACTCGCTAAAATGGATATCTTAGCGGTTTAACCTCCCTGATACCTTTAGATGTTCCTTCTACATATAATGAATTTTAAAGGGTTAACAGCAGCCTGAATCTGTTTCTGTTCCTAAATACAAACCAGCAGTGGATTTAACACACTTTGTGTGTTTTTTTATGTGCTGTGAGGCACCTGGACTCAGAGCACTGCGTTCTGAACCCTAAACATCAGAGGAAACATGCTGAACCTGCGCTGGCGGATCTGGACACCGACACGGACAGTGGCATTCTGTAAAAGGGCACGACACGTGGCTTCTCCTTCGATTGCTCTGCGGCTCCTGGGAGCCTCCAGCGCGGCTGATGGTGGCTCCCAGCATGCACTCTGGCGGACCACGCCAGGCGCTGGCCTTTAGATCAAAGGGTGACCTCCGTACTGAGAAACGGCCGCAGCGTGGGAGGCAACGTTCAGCCGGGGCTTCCTGTGCCGCGCGGCGACTGATCTCGAGCCTTTCAAAGACCGGAGGGACAGGAAGCTGGTCTTTACCAGCCGCATGTCAGAATAAAAGCTTAGCTCACGCCGGCTGAGTGGCAAAGACCAATTCCAGCCTGATGGGACAAAAAACACAGAGCTGTTTGTAGTGACGCCAGCAGGAGTCTATGGCCATTGCTCAATCTGTGTGCTTATTCGTTCTCATGTGCTGGAAAAACATCATCAGCCTCAGCCCTAGCAACGTTCCAATTCACAAAACGGCAAGGCGGCAGCAGCAGCTTCCAGGTTAGCGCTCACAGAGCTCAGAATGTTAAGATAAAAGCTCTCTTTTCTGCTGCCGTTGCTCAATAAAATTACGTTTTAAGATCATTTAAGGCGAGAATATTATACTGTAAATTTAAATATATGTCCCATTTACTGATTTACTGCGCAACGGCAACCAGGGGACCTCCGAGGCTAATAGCAGCCAGAACTGACGTTAGCCCGGCTGCAGCAGCCAGGGATGACGTTAGCCCGTCTGCAGCAGCCAGGGATGACGTTAGCCCGTCTGCAGCAGCCAGGGATGACGTTAGCCCGTCTGCAGCAGCCAGGGCTGACGTTAGCCCGTCTGCAGCAGCCAGGGATGACGTTAGCCCGGCTGCAGCAGCCAGGGCTGACGTTAGCCCGTCTGCAGCAGCCAGGGATGACGTTAGCCCGTCTGCAGCAGCCAGGGCTGACGTTAGCCCGTCTGCAGCAGCCAGGGATGACGTTAGCCCGGCTGCAGCAGCCAGGGCTGACGTTAGCCCGTCTGCAGCAGCCAGGGCTGACGTTAGCCCGTCTGCAGCAGCCGGGGATGACGTTAGCCCGTCTGCAGCAGCCAGGGCAGATGGGCTAACCTTAGCCCTGGCTGCTGCAGACGGGCTAACCTTAGTCCTGGCTGCTGCAGACGGGCTAACGTCAGCCCAGGCTGCTGCAGACGGGCTAACCTTAGCCCTGGCTGCTGCAGACGGGCTAACCTTAGCCCTGGCTGCTGCAGCCCTCTCTTTGCATAGCCGTGTGTGAAGGACCACTGGCTATCATGGCGAGTTGTTTTATTTAGAAAAATGTTCATCTGATTTGTGTCTATCTGACTGTGTTCATTATTATTCCCCCACTAAATGAAAACAGTCATAATTTATTATTATCTAGAGACGATTATTAATCCAGACGAGCTGAGCGTGTGATGATGTCATCAGTACGCTTCTGTTCCAATTGACCCATTTTTATGCTGTGTGTTCTCGTTCTACTAGAGTCCAGACTTTTCTGTGTTCTTCTGTAGAACATATTTGGCAGGAAGACAAGTCCGTACTCGTGTTCTTGTGAATTGAGAAACAGCCATTGACTCGTCGTCGTCACCCTGCCACCTGAGCTGCGGATCTCTGCAGCTCCTCCAGAGGTTATAATCCTCTCACCATCTCTCTGTCAGTAGGTTTGTTTTTACGTCCGTTTAGATGTTGTCTCACTTTATTTGCGGGTGTCACAGAAAAGGGAATCAAACAGAAATAAATCCAACGCTGCGCGTCGTTATTTAAATTCTTAAATAAAATCCAACTAAAAAACACATTGAGCACTTTGATGGAACAAATTTAGCAGCTGACTGATTAACTCAGCTAGAGGCTGAATGAAAGAGAGCTCTTACCATTCTGCAGGGTCTGCTTCCCCCCCGACAGCACTCCCACAGGAAGGGTTCCGGTCGGGGTGAGGCCTTTCAGTGTCAGCACACTTTCACTTTCCTCCCTAATTGCCAAACAAACAGAGACATGTGGGTCAGAGCGCTGATCTCCGTCGTTTGGTTCCTCCGAGGATGTTTGTCCTGCATGCAAACACAAACTGATGTCCTGCTTCTGGAAGTGGGTCACTGACAACTATAGCAGCTGAAGAGCATTTTCCAACACTGATTCGGATAAAATCTGTGTCATCGCACTTATTCTAAATAAAAAAAAATACTTGAATTCCCTCCCACAATTCACTTAGAGTAAAACTAAATGGGAGTTTTTCCTGCAGTGTGTGATCAGCACTAACTGCTGTGGACTCGGCTGACCCGTGTGTTATAGAAGCCCCAGCGCTGCCAGCCATGCACCGTTATATTCTACAGATTAATATTCTACAGGAAGGAAAGTAAATCAGAGTCTGACCTGAGAACAGAGAAGACGCGGGCCATTTTCCCCACGGCACGGATCTTGTTCCGGATGACCTCCTTCCGCATCGCAGATGAGCCGCCTGGAAACAGAGCGCAGAGTTGGACACCTCTGAAGATATCCTGCTTAAACTCAGCAGATGAAAACAGATGATTGAAACTTTTTCTGACCTGAGCTTTTAAAGGTGCAAACACATAGATGATGAAAAAACCCCAGAAAACACCGAAATACAGCAGCAGCCATTCAAAATGGCCGTTCCCAGTCAAAAGGCAGCCGAATGGCAGCACACTTCCCTGCAACTCCTAGCGAAATCCCCTCCAACTTCCAGCCACTGCAGTGACCCCCCTCTTGCATATATTTTTTTTACTTTGACTCCACCATTTCACTGAATTACAGGGCCTGACCAGGAGATGGTGATTCTCTTTAGATCTTAATGGCCACAAATCATGACAGAAAGAATATTTTAGTACAAAGAATGATGTTTAAAAACGAATTGTAGGGGACCAGCCAAGGACCAACCAAGGACCAACCAAGGACCAACCAAGGACCAACCAAGGGCCAACCAATGACCAACCAAGAACCAGCCAAGGACCAGCCAAGGACCAGCCAAAGACCAGCCAAGGGCCAACCAATGACCAACCAAGAACCAGCCAAGGACCAGCCAAGGACTAGCCAAAGACCAGCCAAGGGCCAACCAAGGACCAACCAATGACCAGCCAAGGGCCAACCAAGGACCAACCAAGGGCCAACCAATGACCAACCAAGAACCGACCAAGGACCAACCAATGGCCAACCAATGACCAACCAAGAACCAACCAAGGACCAACCAATGACCAACCAAGGGCCAACCAAGGACCAACCAATGACCAACCAAGAACCAGCCAAGGGCCAGCCAAGGACCAGCCAAGGGCCAACCAAGGACCAGCCAAGGGCCAACCAAGGACCAACCAATGACCAACCAAGGACCAACCAAGGGCCAGCCAAGGGCCAACCAAGGGCCAACCAAGGGCCAACCAAGAACCAACCAAGGACCAACCAAGGGCCAGCCAAGGGCCAACCAAGGGCCAACCAAGGGCCAACCAATGACCAACCAAGAACCAACCAATGACCAACCAAGGGCCAACCAAGGGCCAACCAAGGGCCAACCAAGGACCAACCAAGGGCCAGCCAAGGGCCAACCAAGGGCCAACCAATGACCAACCAAGGACCAACCAAGGGCCAACCAAGAACCAACCAAGGGCCAACCAAGAACCAACCAATGACCAACCAAGGGCCAGCCAAGGGCCAACCAATGACCAACCAAGAACCAACCAAGGACCAACCAAGGGCCAGCCAAGGGCCAACCAAGGGCCAACCAAGGGCCAACCAATGACCAACCAAGGACCAACCAAGGGCCAACCAATGGCCAACCAAGGGCCAACCAATGACCAACCAAGGGCCAACCAAGGACCAGCCAAGGGCCAACCAAGGGCCAACCAATGACCAACCAAGAACCAACCAAGGGCCAACCAAGGACCAGCCAAGGGCCAACCAAGGGCCAACCAATGACCAACCAAGAACCAACCAATGACCAACCAAGGACCAACCAAGGGCCAACCAAGGGCCAACCAATGACCAACCAAGAACCAACCAAGGGCCAACCAAGGACCAGCCAATGACCGACCAAGAACCAACCAAGGGCCAACCAAGGACCAACCAAGGGCCAACCAAGGACGAGCCAATGACCAACCAAGAACCAACCAAGGGCCAACCAATGACCAACCAAGAACCAACCAAGGGCCAGCCAAGGGCCAACCAAGGGCCAACCAATGACCAACCAAGGGTCAACCAAGGGCCAACCAATGACCAACCAAGAACCAACCAAGGGCCAACCAAGGACCAGCCAATGACCAACCAAGAACCAACCAAGGGCCAACCAATGCCCAACCAAGGACCAACCAAGGGCCAACCAAGGACCAGCCAATGACCAACCAAGAACCAGCCAAGGGCCAACCAAGGGCCAACCAATGACCAACAAGGACCAACCAAGGGCCAACCAAGGGCCAACCAATGACCAACCAAGAACCAACCAAGGACCAACCAAGGGCCAACCAATGACCAACCAAGAACCAACCAAGGGCCAACCAAGGACCATCCAAGGGCCAACCAAGGACCAGCCAAAAAAAACAAAAACATGGAAAAAGTGCTGCAAAAAAAAAAAAAAAAAACCCAGCAAGTTTAAGAACACAAAACAGAAGTGCACTGCACCACTAAGGGGAGCCGACCAACCAGCAGGTCACACCGGATCAGACCCTCAGCAATGTGGTCTGGTTGCTTTTCTGCTCTGTTCTTTAGCTTCAAGCTAGAGATCAGCAGGCTTTATTGACTTTATTTTTAAGGGAGAAAGTCCACCTCCAAACATCCTCTGTTCATCAGAATTATGATCCCACTAAAGTCGGGCATACACTGTGTGACTTTTTGCCCTTTTCGGGCCGATTCTACGGTAGTGCGAGAATTTTTCGAAAGGGGTACACAAGGGGCGATCAGCCTCTAACGAACACCTCCCAATCAGGAATGGTAAGGCTGGGAGAAAATCAAACATGTTTGAAATTCAGTCGGCTGTCGTAAGGTGGTTGTGGGCAAATCGCTCAGTGGGCAAACAAGGATTCTTCTTAGAATAGAATTTAAAATCCTCCTTCTCACATATAAAGCCTTAAATGGCCAAGCTCCATCTGATATCAGAGATCTGATTGTTCCTTATGTTCCTAACAGAGCACTTCGCTCTCAATCTGCAGATTTACTAGTGGTTCCTAGAATCTCTAAAAGTAGAATGGGAGGCAGATCTTTTAGTTATCAGGCTCCTCTCCTGTGGAACCAACTACCAGTTTTAGTCCGTGAGGCAGACACCCTGTCTACTTTTAAGGCTAGGCTTAAAACTTTCCTTTTTGATAAAGCTTCTAGTTAGAGTGGCTCAGGTTATCCTGAGCTATCTCTATAGTTCTGCTGCTATAGGCTTAGACTGCTGGAGGACATAGGGACCCCTTTTTCATCATTCTGCTTCATTCTATCTCTGTTCTCCCACTCTGCAGAATCTGTTAGTTCAATCTCTAACGTTCTGCTCTCTCTGCTTTTTCTCATAGTAGCTTCATCTGGTCTGTTCCTGTTTGGCTGTGACTCCATCCTGGAGAGAAATATCAGCTGTGCTGCTGCCATCAACACCTTTGTTTCTAGATGTTGGAGCTTGGCCTGTTTTCCAGTGTAGTCCTGTTTCTCTGACTGTGACTAACTGGATGTGCTCTCTTCATCCTCTGACATGGGAGCTGGCTCGGAGCTCGTCTGCCTGGCTGTGTGTTTCCTGGACGGGGCCGCCTGTGGAGCTGGTTGACAGTTGCCTTTTGTATCTATGCTTCTTTTTCTATGTCTGCTTCTGTCTCCTTCAACCCCAGTGGGCCTCAGCAGATGGCCGCTCACACTGAGCCTGGTTCTGCTGGAGGTTTCTTCCTGTTCAAAGGGAGTTTTTCCTCTCCACTGTCGCTACAAGCATGATTAGTGTGAGGGATTGCTGAAGAGTCAATGAGTCGATGCAATCAGCTGGTTTTCCTTAGATAAAAAACTTTGAATCAATCTGACTGGATGATCTGGTGAACTGGAAAGTGCCTTGAGATGACGTGTGTTGTGAATAGGCGCTACAGAAATAAACTGAATTGAATTGAATTGAAAGGTTCCTGCTCTGGACTTTAGTAAGTGTAAAAAAATAATAAATTCTTTTAACACATTTAAATCTTAATTAATTAATTTTTTACCTTTTCTACATATCTACATACAGGTGCTGGTCATAAAATTAGAATATCATGAAAAAGTAGATTGATTTCAGTAATTCCATTTAAAAAGTGAAACTTGTATATTATATTCATACATTACATACAAACTCATATATTTCAGATGTTTATTTTGTTTAATTTTGATGATTACAAATGACAACAAATGAAAATCTCAAATTCATCATATCAGAAAATTACAATATTACTGAAGACCAATAAAAACAAAGGATTTATAGAAATGTTGGCCAACTGAAAAGTATGAACATGAAAAGTATGAGCATGTACAGCACTCAGTATTTAGTTGGGCCTCCTTTGGCCTGTATTACTGCAGCAATGCGGCGTGGCATGGAGTCGATCAGTCTGTGGCACTGCTCAGGTGTTATGATAGCCCAGGTTGCTCTAATAGTGGCTTTTAGCTCTTCTGAATTGTTGGGTCTGGTGTATTGCATCTTCTTCTTCACAATACCCCATAGATTTTCTATGGGGTTAAGGTCAGGAGAGTTTGCTGGCCAATTAAGAACAGGGATACCATGGTCCTTCAACCAGGTACTGGTAGCTTTGGCACTGTGTGCAGGTGCCAAGTCCTGTTGGAAAATGAAATCTGCATCTCCAAAAAGTTGGTCAGCTGCAGGAAGCATGAAGTGCTCTAAAACTTCCTGGTATGTGGCTGCGTTGACCCTGGACCTCAGAAAACACAATGGACCAACACCAGCAGATGACATGGCACCCCAAACCATCACTGACTGTGGAAACTTTACACTGGACTTCAAGCAACGTGGATGAAGTGCCTCTCTTCTTTTCCTCCAGACTCTGGGACCTTGATTTCCAAAGGAAATGCAAAATTTACTTTCATCAGAGAACATGACTTTGGACCACTCACCAGCAGTCCAGTCCTGTTTCTCTTTAGCCCAGGCAAGACGCTTCTGACGCTGTCTGTGGTTCAATAGTGGCTTGACACAAGGAATGCGACAGCAGAAACCCATGTCTTTCATACGTCTGTGTGTGGTGGTTCTTGAAGCACTCACTCCAGCTGCAGTCCACTCTTTGTGAATCTCCCCCACATTTTTGAATGGGTTTTGTTTCCCAATCCTCTCCAGGGTGCGGTTATCTCTCTTGCTTGTACACTTTTTTCGACCACATCTTTTCCTTCCCTTCGCCTCTCTATTAATGTGCTTGGACACTGAGCTCTGTGAACAGCCAGCCTCTTTAGCGATGACCTTTTGTGTCTTGCCCTCCTTGTGCAAGGTGTCGATGGTCGTCTTTTGGACAACTGTCAAGTCAGCAG